CCTCCGCGGCTTTGCTCCGCGTCTTCCGGGTCTGCAGACCAGGGAGACGCGGAGCAGCTTTTCTCGCCCCGGAGTACACGGGCGCCAGGACCGCGAGGTCCCGTAGTCCGTGTCCTCCGGGGCAAAAAAAGCCCCGTTCGTAACTGCGGATCCGACATAAGTCGGATCCGCGTAAGTCGGGGGCTGCCAGTATATGATGGGCTCGGGCACAGGCTTGTGGTATGTGGGTGGTGCAGATGTTGTGGCAAGACTGGGAATGTGGGGGGTACAGGAGTTTGGAGATCTGAGGGGCTCAGGGCAGGGGTTTCCAGTGTATGTGGGCTCAGGGTTGGGTTTTGTAGAAGGTGCAGGAGTGTTATGATTCTGCAGCCAGATGCGGTCTTGGCTCCAATTGGGGGTTAGCTTGCCAGGCTTCATTTTTAAATAAAATATGTCCAACACAAAACGTTTCAGCATTGTCTTCATTTTATTGGAGGGGCAGGGAACCTGTTTTGGGTCAGAGGCCACTGGACCCCTCCAAAAACTCCCAAGCCTCACTGATATGGCCCCAACTGAGACACCTCACTCCCCTGGCACTCCAGCCCTTTGGGAAGGGTAGGTAGGACTGAGGTTCAAGGCTTCAGGCCAGATTAACTCTGAGTTTCCAGGGTAAGTGGATTTTGTGGGCCCCTCTATACTCTGAGGTGGGGCCAAAAATGAGGGATACAGTGTACAGGACAGAGCTGCCAGTGAGTGTGATGAGGGTACAGAATCTGGGTAGAAAGTAGGGTACAGGAACAAGCTGGGGATAGGTGTCTAGCCAGGAGGGAGGGACTAGGGTGCTGGATGGCAGTCTGGCCAGGGGACAAGGTGCTGATGGGGGTCTGGTCAGGGGGCAGGAGCAGCTCAGCTGGCACCTAGGTGTCTCTAGGGATGAGGATCTCTGGGTCAGGATCTGCAGGCAGCACTGGAAGAAGCACATGTGCAGTTCCTTTAAAAAAATCCAGCCGCTCCAGATCCTGCACCACCATCTTAACTATGCCCCTCCTCTCCCCCCCCCTCCCCCCCCACGCACAGAGAAAGAAGGGAAGACAAAAAAAGCACGCGCACTGTTGTGGGCAGGGGAGGAACATGAGCTTTCTGGTCTTCCCTTCCTTTCCCATGCTGCCTTCCTTCCTGTGGCATGGGGAGGGGTTATGGGGGGTGGAGGGGAGAGAAAGAGTCCTTAGGCTCAGCGCCAAATCAAGCTCCGGATCTAGCGCGGAACCACGGGACTCCCCCCTGCTCACCCTGCTTCAGGAAGCCAGAGCTAGCTCTATTTTTGTGGGAGACCGCAGTGCCAGCTCCTCTTTGGGGGTAGATGGGGAGTCTGGGAATGCTGCCTCATGATTGACTGGTTGGTGACCACGGTCTTGGGCAAACCCACAATACATAGTATGACACCATCAAGGTATTTCTGCAATATGAATGAAAAGTAAACTAACATTAGTATCCAAATGTAACCATAGTTATCAGCAAATGGGACACTTGATACATGGCATGCATCTGACGAAGTGGGTCTTTGCCCACGAAAGCTTATGCTCCAACACTTCAGTTAGTCTATAAGCTGCCACAGGACTCCTCGTCGCTTTTGGTACATGGGGTTAACTGGATTACAGATGCAAGTTTGTAGTTCAGTAACTTGGTACTTCTCAGACTGATAATTTGTTATGCTCTTGAGAGTTATCTTATTAAGAAAAAGGAAGATATACATCCTGTGTTGCCTTGCCTTATATTACAAGTCAGGAATCAAGAGACTACCATAAATCACAGAACATACCTGAGCTAGTTTTCAGAAGGATAGCATAATTGCTCTTACAGTGGAATGGTTTCAAACTGATGTAATACAAGCTTAATTTTTAAATGTGTAGTGTGAACAAGACCTTGCTTACCCACACACGTGTCTTCCTCATTTTTGATCCAGCCCTCTTTACAATCCTTGCAGTCTTTGTTAGTTGAGCCAGTGCAAGTTTTACAGGCATCATGGCAAGCTGGAAGAGATTTGGGGCATGGTTCAAGTTAAAGCTATGTTAACTCAAGCTTGAAAGAAAATCTAATTTGTTTAAAAGTGAAAGTCTTCAGGCAACTAAATACTAGAATTGACCAGAAACTACCAGCTCACATTAACATAAATATGGTTTTTTAGAAAAAATCTGAGTGTTTACAAACATAATAGATACTATTCTAATTTTTGAACACACACACACACACTTCTACTCTCTCAACCAAAATTCTACCACCTACAGAGTGGAAGATCAACCATTTTAACTAGCAGTACCATTAAAAACAAGCTGCTTTTTTGTATTTTGCATAAATGTTATAAAAAGTCAAGGCAAGTCAAGTGAAATTACTACATAAGGTAGGCAGACTGTAGTTACCCACATCAGAAACTAGTACGTACTGAAAGGTTGGCACCCTTGTGTTGAGAAGAGAGTTCACTGGGAAGTGGTTAGGACCAATTTCATCTCTTATCAGAAACACAGCAACACCTGCACCTCTTTATTCACTATCACTGTGTTGGGGCTCTAGTTTAATACTAACTCAAAGTAGTACTGCCAACTGAAAGAAAACTTATTTCTTTTTTGCACCTAATTTTGCTTTGGGACACAATCACCTCATCTAGTATTGGCCTCAAAAAGCCAGATTATAAAAAAAATGCTAAGCATCCAGCATTAAAAATTTAATCCTACTGGATAAATTTGTTTGGATCATAACATGAAGCAAGTCACATTAAAAAAGTGCTACACAACTGCATTCTAACATTTCCAACAATGCTAATAATGTTTAATGTTAAGTAACATTTTAAGATAGATCCTATAAACAGGTTTTCAAAGCAACTGTACAAGTCTGCTCTGAACTAAATTGCAAAATTAAAGACATGGGAATACTACTTTTTGATTTGTAAAACTTAAGAACCCAACTATTTTTAATATTATGTATTTTTATAGATGGATAGATAGTTTTATTCTCATGCTCTAACATAAACCTAAATTTTTTATGTTTTACATGAAATATAAATGAAGCTGGACTATAATACAGTTAAATGTATTCTGGCTAAAAAATATTTTAAAGGTGACCAGAATAGCCTATTACATAGGCTATATATAGACCCTTAAATGTGTGTCAAAGCTCTGGCTGCGCCCATGGGTCCTGCACTTCTAGTGGATAGTGTTCAGCCTCAGAGGATCGCTGTGTCCCACCATGCAGACACTTTAATTTTTTTTTTGGAACTAGAGACAAGGTTCACAGCCCACTGAGCCATATTTACCACAGGCAAACCCATAATTAGAGGGATTTCATCCTCATTAGTCCTGGTTTCCCTATCCAGGGGCAGACTCTATAGAGGTGTGGGGAGGGTTGGAGGAAACCGGGCTTGCCCACTACTCCAGGCTCTGGCCCAGGGACCCTAATGCAGCAGCAACAGTTGGGGTTTGTTCTACTCCCTGTCTGGCAACTACTTCCCTAGGCTACTTACCCAAACGATTCCTCCCAGTACATTCCCTCTGGTATCTGCTCCTCCAACACACTCTTCCTGCCTTCACCCATACTCTTCTCACTTTTAGCACTTTGGTTCCTTCTTCCTCACGTACCTCTCAACTAACAGAAGAGGAGCCCTTTTAAACCAGTCTCAACTGGTTCTTGATTGGCCTGACTCCCTGGGCTCTGGAAGGCTCCTAATTAGCTCTAGGTGTTCTAACTGACCTGACTGTTCAGACAGCTTCTGGAAAGTACCTGCCAGTTTTAGGCCAGCCCCTGACAGTTTACCCAGGGAACAGAGACCTACTTAATCTAGGGCTCACATACTTTACTTCTAGCATTATTTTTTAAATCCCTCTGACCTGACCCTGGCACATATGGTAAATTAAAATAAGTAGCAAATATCTTATGAAATCAATGTATTATCTATGCAATTAAATAACTACTGATTTTAATAACTGAATTTTTATGCAACTAAGTTACTTAGAAATTATTGCCAGAGCAGATTAACAAAAAACAAAGACCATCCAGAAGAATGATTTGCCAGATCCTCTAATGCTCCACCACAATGTACACAGTAATCTTACCATCCCCATTTTTCCCCCTCATTTCTTGTCAGCTCATATTCTCTCCTTCAGCATTCTCCAATATATTCTATTTAATATTAGAATTAACTGCTAACAAAGGGGTATACAAAGATCAAGTAAATATTAGTTACCTGCACAAACAGAGTGGGTGTCATTTTTCAGGAGGCTATAATAACCATCAGCACAGTCTAGACAAAACTCTCCTGTGTACTCCCTGTTACAACTGCAAGACCCATCTCCACCTCTTGTACCATCTCCATCACAGTGACCATTTCCATGGCAAGGTCTTTCTGATCCACCACGACATGCTACAGAGTAAAAACACAACTTAGAATTTTTCACCAGTCCAGAGAAAGAAAAAAACCTCAAAGCTTTATAAAACAAGAGTGTTTTCTATTTATCATCCACCCATTCCCAAAAAAGCCAATCAAAGGTCAAATGGAATTTATTTTTCCATGATGAAAGAGCACATTATGTGCTCATTAGTTGTGTGTTCTCTTAACCCCAGCATACAAGTAAATGCTAATAATCAATGTCTCAGGGATACCTGACAAGCTTTGTCTGAAAATAATTATTTTAATTTCCATAAGAATTCTGAAGTTATCTGAAGTTTACCTGTTGCGCTGAATTTCTTTTTATATCATTTCATGAAAAATAGATTTCAGAAAATAGATCTGCTGAAAAAGATAACAGAGGACTAGACTGAGGAATGACCCTACCCTTCACTCAGTTGTGCATATACATCCAAAGGTTTCAACTCCAACCAGTGCCAGTATGATATAGCTATGTCATGCCTTCTGGTTATTAGGGATATTAAAAATCGTGCATTAGGGTAACTGTAAGCGCTGAACATCTCAGTAGTTATACAGTTACCTGTGCTGCAGACTCTGCAATATAAAGCTCAGCTTTATACTGCAGAGCCCACTGCAAAGCCTCCTCCGCAGGAGCGGAGCTGGCAGCCTTTGCCTGACTGGCTCCTGGGGAGGAGGCTCCACTGACACAGGCTTAATAGACACAGTTAAACCGTTATTTGTTTACACTCAAACATACCTATTGGATACTATAGTTTTGACTAACTTAATTCTACTTAAGTGAATTTGGGTTTGAGGAAGACAAATGAGTTTTGTGTAACTTGGAATTCATTTAATCAGGCTTCATCTATTTATCAACTAACGAAAATAGTGGGGTTGCAAAGACTCAAATTCAACTACATACATGTATTAACGATGTTACTTCTAGAAGACGTCAAGTTTTAAGCTAACCCTATTACCATGACACCACTTTAGAGGGCAGCCTTGGCCTGCCATTCAGCAGTGGCTACAGTACTCACAGATGTAGTGTTCCTTTGATCTAAGCCACTTTTCTTTCCACTCATGTCTTCTGCTCTTTTCCTAGAATCATAGAGCCACTGTGCCCTCCTCTATTCCTGCTCCTAAATCTCTCCAGCTGTCTGTCACACACTTCTCTTACTTTCCAATCTGACCCTCAGCTCTGGATTTGCCTGTGTCTTCACTACCAGTCTCCAGCATGTTTCGCTGTCTCTGGTTTCTCAACTGCTGTGCCATCATCTTTCAGTTACACTAGCTATTGCAAAATGTATACAAATTTCCTGCTATTTTTGGTACTACTATTGTACCTATCACCACAGTATCTGGGCATTAACACTTCTTTTTAACTCATTGTTATGTTTTTTCCTGCCTAGTCTCCACATCAAGTTAGCATTTCCCTCTCATGTCCTTAGATATGGCAGCTGAATCTACAACAAGGTTCTAGTTTTACAAAGCAGTTCAGGATACACAAGCATTAGATGTCTGGATAAAACAGAGTCAACATACCCAGGAGTTTAAAACTACTGTAATATTTTTAATTTAAAGAAATACCAAGGCAGTCTGGTCCATATGTTCCAGCAGGGCAACAAACTTCAATAGTTTCTATACAAAACCACTTAAGCAGGTCAGGATACTTCTTCTTTCTGTATAATAAAAACATTCATTTCTTAAAAAGGGAAAATATTCGTGTATCTAGCTCATCACAACTCACAATTTTTACTCTTTGAACTATACACGTTCAACACAATTCTCCAGAGTAATGCACTGTCAAACTTCTCACCTTGACTGATAATCTTATTTTAAAAAGTTAAGAATAATTGTAATTTTGAAGGACAATAAAAATAATCAAAAATATACAGATTAAATAACTGTAAAATGGATCACTTTTTTTGTTAACAATGGAAAGAGCCATCTTAATTAAATGACCAGTTGCTGGAAGAATTCCAGAATTTGATGGTATTCCAAAACCAAATTGCTTTAAACCTTTTTTGTTTATTATATTCATTATTTAAATAGTGTTTGTAGTTCTTATTTCATATCCCCTGACTTAAAAAAAGGGAGGGAATAAAGAGCGAAGCAGCAACCCAACCAGCTATTTTTGTCTTAGACTATATTGTATAACTTAAACCCAAGCTACTCAAAATGAGGCCAGTGAGCCACATGCGGCCTGTGGCCTGTTTGTTCGTGGCTCGTGTTGTGGTCTGGGTTTACACAGGGCTCAACAAACACAGCCCACGGGTGGGATCCTTTGAACATGGCCTCCACTGGGAACATGCTCCATAACAGTGAGTCAATGTGAAAGAAGCTATTTGCATATATTTGCATATGCATATAACCGCACTTAAGTTGTGGCTCTCGGCATGTGCTATGAGTATCATTGTGGCCCATGGGGCTTCCAGAGTTGAGTAATCCTGGTCTAAATAGTAGCAGTTGTGAGTACCACATCTTATTCCTTTTAGAGATGTGATTGGATAACCAGTTACCCTTACTGGGTGATGCTTAAGTTTAGTTATTAATATTACAATAGAAGTCAACCATTGATCAGGATGGGAACAGTAACAAGTCAAGGGATTGCACTGAAGATTTAAATGCTACTTCTGTACATTGAGTAACAATCTTTTATAACTGCAAAATAAGGCATACTGGAAAATATCCCAACTATACATACAAAATGATTGTTTACACATTTGTTGTTACCTCTCAAAAAAATATTTTAGTATCATTCTGGATAGTTTTCTTATACATGCACTCAGTGTATATTGGCAGTCCAAAAACAACCCCAAAAACCAACAACGTTGGGAACCATTAAAAAAAAGATATTAAGAATAGATAGCAAGACAGAAAAAAAATATTATTTTCCTCTTTTTAAATCCATACTACACCTACACCTTGAATACTGTGTGCAGATGTGGTTGTCTCATCTCCCCCTCCCCCCTTAAAAAAAGGGGAATACTGGAAAGGTTCAAAAAAGGGCAACAAAAACAATTAAGAGTATGAAAAGCTGCCCTAAGAGGAGAGATTAAAACAACCAGGACTTTTTATCTTGGAAAAGAAATGCCTAAGAGGGGGATATTTTGATGTCTATATAAATCATCACTGGTGTGGAGAAAATCAATATGGAAAGAAGAAAATAACACAGGAACTAGGGATTATTAAATGACAATAGACAACAAGTTTTAAAATCATGCATAAGTACTTGTTCACACAGTACGGACGTAAGCGACTAGTTGACTATCCGATAAGCAGATTGGATAGTCAAGTACCGATTCGACTAGTCGCTTCACCCTGCCCTTGCTGCCTCTATCATAAAAATGGGAGGAGGGGAGGTGGAGTAGAGCAGAAGTTGGTGCTGGAGGGGAGCTGCCAGGCTCTTGATACACTTCAAAAGCAGAAGCCCTGTCGGGAGCATGGGGCTTTCTTTTGAAATGTATAAGAGCCCCGCTGGAAGCGCGTGTACATTTCAAAGACTCAGGCAC